ACAGGAGTGGCTTCTGCTCTGTGACTCGACAGAGAACATGAACACCATCAAACAACTGAGCTATAATTTTTATGTGTTTGCCTTGCTTTATCATATCTAGGCCTGTATGCTTGTAGGAAATAAACACTCAATTTACATGCCTCCCAAATAAGGACAGAGTGTCTCTTTCCTAATATATTAACAGAACATATGTATCTTTGTTTAAAAGAGATACTGGTTTGCTATATAATTTATATCAAAGAATATAAAGAAACCTAACCTTCAAAATACACTATTAGGCAAGAGAGTAGTGATGAATTCAATTTATGTCCTAAGAAAATCAATAAAAGGGGCAAAATTTCCTGCTTCTATGATGTGGAGTCTCCCTGACAAAGGCCCTGCAAAGGTAACAGTTGCACCCCTCTGTGATCAACACAGGGGATCACAAAGAAATGGCCCTGCTGAGTTTTTCAGACAACTGAAAACCTCAATTTCAGACAACGAGCAGAGAGGCATAAGTAGAATTTAAAACTATTTTCTAAGAAATTAGGAGACAATAAGACCTTCCACCCAATCAGTCTCTTTGTATCTTGAAATTTCTATGTCATATAATAAAAAGATGCAGAGTTATTGTATAATTCCTCAATATCCTTCAAATATGGACAATTACTTTGTCAATTTTTAAAATATAATCAATCTTTCCCCCCACCCTCTCTAAAAGTTTCAAAGTCAGATTGGGAAGAAAGAAGAGACTCATTCTTAACTTGGACAAATTCTAACCCACGCAGCTTAACTGCGGGCGAGGAGCAAAGGGAAGAAAACACAGTTATAAAGAGCTCACTCCCACACTGGAAATGGGCAAAAATCAACCCAGAATTGGGCTTTTTTTGTACACCATTTATAGCTTCATAAATACATTTTTAAAAAAAAGTATGCTCAGAGCAATAGATGTTATCTTTCTTGAAAGTCTCCTGAAACTGCCCAGAGCCGCTTTCCTGAAAGTCTCTTCTTGTGTCCTCAAAGCACTGTGAAAGAGTGAAACCTGTCCTGCTGCATCAAACTTCACAACTGCTTCATTAGTCAGATCGGTTGCTTACTGATCTAACTCTCTGACTAGATTAAATTTAATCAAACACGAACTATGTCTTATCCACAAATATACCATTGTCCTAAATCAAAACAGTCTTATGCATTTTAATAAGTAACCTGGCTTCCAAAGGATACATGTACACACACACACACAAACACACAACTAAATAATAGATAAATAATTAAATTCATGTCTTTGGAATCTTCTTTTAGCTTAAGATATATATAAAAAGAGAGATTTTTTAAATATTTGGTATAATATTGGTACAGCCAGCAAACTGAATCTCTCTGACTACTGTGAAAGGGAGCTTCACTGAAAATTTTAGTAGTATTGTACTGCTCTTTTCAGGACCCTACATAAGAGTTGGAGCACATTAGAAAATTTGAATATTTAAGTAATATATAGCATAAAAATATCATTTTTTTACCTTAAATACAGTAGCATATGACCATAAATTAAAAATGAAACAACAGCCAAGCTTCATAGCTACAACTCCAGCACTCAGGAGCCAAAGGCAGAAGGGGTCACAAGTTCCAGAGGCACCTGGATTGCTTAGGGACTTCACAGCCAAGCTCACATGCATAAAGAAATCCAGTCTTAAAAAGCCAAGGGATGAGGATGCAGCCAGCTGAAAGAGCCCTTGCCTAAAACACTCAAAGTCCTGAATACGATCCCTCGGACTCAGGTAAGAAAGATTAGAAAACACAAAACTGGCCAGGCAGTGGTGGCGCATGCCTTTAATCCCAGCACTTGGGAGGCAGAGGCAGGTGGATTTCTGAGTTCGAGGCTAGCCTGGTCTACAGAGTGAGTTCCAGGACAGCCAGGGCTACACAGAGAAACCCTGTCTCGAAAAACACACACACACACACACACACAAAAAACCCACCAAAGAAAAAAAAAAGAAAAAGAAAAAAATGAAAACACAAAACTGTATGAACCAGCCAAAAATGTCCAACTTATTCTATCGGAATTCTGTACTTTCTAAAGACGGAGCTTTACTTACATATATTTTCCACATGTCCCCCCAAATTAATGAAGTTTAAAACTGAAAAGGATGGGGAAGAATTCTGTAAGTACAATGGTAGCTAGACCTATTTCTCGTTTTTTTAGAGGATGATATGGCCACTTCAGTCCAAATGCCTTGAAAAATATGGCAAAAGAATGCCAAAACAAAACACAAAAGTCCACACACACATACACACACAAAGATGAAGTTTGGTTTGTGTTGGCCAACGACTCCCGGCACAAGGCCTGCCCTGGAATGTGGTGGATATGTATCCCATGTTTGTTTTGGCTTTAGTTTCTATATGTTTGTAGTGTTTGGGTTTTGGCTTTTTCATTTTTGTTTTTTGGTTTTTTGTTTGTTTGTTTTTCCTCTGTCTCCCAAGTGCTGGGATTAAAGGTGTGTGCCACCACTGCCAGGCAGCTTTTTCATTTTTGAAAGAGAAAGATAAAAAACCTAAAGTTGGCCAGGCGGTGGTGGCACACGCCTTTAATCCCAGCACTTGGGAGACAGAGGCAGGCAGATTTCTGAGTTTGAGGCCAGCCTGGTCTACAGAGTGAGTTCCAGGACAGCCAGGGATACACAGAGAAACCCTGTCTTGAAAAAACCACAAAAAAAAAAAAAAAAAAAAAAAAAAAAAACAACTAAAGTTGGAAGGGTCCAGGAGGAGTTATGGAGGAAAAAGTAAGATTAAGACTGTATGAAAAATGATTATATAAAAATTCATTTATTTTTGTACACGAATTCCAACTTAAGAATCTATTAAAAAAAACTTCAACCTACAAAAATACTTAGCCATACTAATTCTTATGCCTAATTTTGGTAACAAAATAGTAAAATAAATTAAAATTGCCTCTTAAATCACTAAAAGCAATCTTGTACTTACATATTTAGTGACATAGAAAGATGAACAGAAAGCCAGGCACAGTAGCGAACTTCTTTGATCCCAGCATTCAAGAGGCAGAGTCAGAAGGATCTCTGTGAATTCAAGACCAGCCTGATCTACATAGTGAGTTCAAGGACAGCCAGAACTATAAGTGAGACCCACTACCTTTTCTCAAAAAATAAAAAGAATAAATAAGGCATCTTCTAAAGTTATTTGCATTCTGACACCAGCTCAGCTCTTTCCCCTCACATTTCCCAAGCTTCCCTTCCAGCGAACCACCACCCTTTCTGTCAGCTGCAGACACCCAGCCAGGGCCACACTGGGCTGGAGTCAGGTAGGAGAGTCACTTTCCGTCTTGCCCTCCATTATGCTCGCTAGAATCATTTATTTAATTTTTAAAATTTCAGTTTCACTGATGGTATAAAAACACTCTCAAAATATAATGAATTAAATGTAAAGAGAAAAAATAACACTCTAGATAATTACATTTTTTAAAGTTATGCGTATATATGAGTTATGCCTGCATGTATGTGTTTATACCAGGTGATTATAGTTTGATCAAGGAAGCCAGAAGAAGGCATCAAAACCCTGGAAACTGAAATTATCCATAGTTGTGAATTACCATGTGGGCCCTGGGAGCTGAAGCTAGATCTCTGAAAAAGTAACAAATGCTTTTTAATCAACAAGCCGGCTTTGAAGCTGTGACAATTTCTTTTTAATAAATAGTAACATCCTGATTCCTGCTTTTTGGTAATTTACATAAACATATTTACTTGGCTTGATTCAGACATTATGCTAGGTTTATAAGCATTTTTTGAAACATGACATTCAAGTCCAGTTAACAAAAAATTCAGACTCAAAAATGCAAGAAAAATGCTAATCAGGAAAAAAGCTTTCAGCCTTTTCTTTAGAATGAAAGAAAAATTCCTAAAAAGAAAACCTGAGGCTTAGGGAAGATTGCAGAAGAGGAGGCAAAGATAGCACATGGGCCAGAGGCCCGGGATGCCTGCTGTAGGAAAGTGTCTTCTAAATTTGATGGGGAAACGGCACCCACGAAATCTTGACAAAGCAGCGGCCTGCCTAACACCTACGTAATGACAACACAAGCTGACATGCCAATATTGACAAAGTAAATCTCACAAGGTCCTCCCAGAAACGGAGAGCCTACAGGCAATTAATGACTGCTGAGAAAAAGAATCAATTTTTCTAGGAACAAGCCTCCTGATAGATTATCCAATCCCAGGTGCTCAGCCCTAAATACATGTACATCCAACCAACACTAAACGGATTTTGTAAGGTAAGGGGTGTGTGTGTGTCTGTGTGTGTGTGTATACGTGTACGCGTGCGAGCAAAAGAATAATTTTAAAAGAGGAGGTCATGAATTTGAAAAGGAGTAAGGGATGTGCAGGAGGAGCTGCAGGGGAGGGGAGAGATAGAAACAATGTAAATCATTTTAGCATTCAAATATAAAATTCTAAAAAACAAAAATGAAGAAAAAGAAAATATAACTTGTTAACTGTTCTCTCTGGCAGTGAACATTTGTCAAATTAATATACACACTTAGTCATATATGCTATTCATATTGTCAGGCCTGTATCTGGGCAACAGAATCCAACACTGTCAAATGAAGACGCAAACACTTGTGATCACACTAGCTGCCTACATTACTGTTTCCAAAAGCCATGCTGCCCCCTGCTGGACCACTTTAGAGACTGTATGACAACAAAATTCCGTAACATTTTAAAGAACGTTAGGTCTACTTGCAAAAGTATGCAAGTGCTAAATAATTTATTTTATTAGTTGCTCTAAAAGATATACTAACAGAAAAGCAGCTCTGACAACTTAATTATCAATATAAACAAGAAATATTAGGTTCATATCTATCAAAAGCAAATAAAATGTTACACTTTAAGTTACTGTGGGTCCTATTTACATGCCTGAGAGCAACAAAGCCCCCCCCCCCCCGCCTCTGCCATAGAGAAACCATATTAGATGAAACCCGCCTCTGCCATAGAGAAACCATATTAGATGAAGCAACTTACACTACAGTTTTCCGGTGGGACCAGAAGTTGTGTGATCTCACCACCATGAACACAGAAGATATGTTTCATTTCTCCGGAAAATATGTCCCAAATTATGACAGAAAAATCAACACCTCCAGATATCAGGTATCTTTGATCATAGCGGGCTGAGACCTGATGAGGGTACAGCAGACACGTGACTTTGTTCCGATGGCCACGGAGCGTTCTGTGAGGGGGCCAACCTGCCAAAGAGGTTTGGAATTCAGAACTGGAAAATTAAAGTCTTCACAATGCTTCAATGAGCAAACAAGAAATGCCTGAAGAGCCACAACCTTTACTTGTAGAACAGGTCTGTGGAGCATGCAGCTGCTAGTTTCCCAAGACAAACAGGCCTTTAAGATACGGTGAGGCTTTGGGTAAGTGTGCTGCACATGCCAAATTTTAAAGAATTGATACAAAACATAATATAAAATATTTCAATAATAACTCCCTTATTTATCACAAATAGAAATGAAAATAATGTTGCTATGTTGAGCACATAACATGTAGTAACTTCCCATTATTTATTTTACTGTTAATACCGCTACTAAAAAATTGCATTAGTTCAATAGCACTGTTTTAGAAGAGTATTCATATTGCTGATAATATAGCTATATAGTAATCAATTTAACTAATAATTTATGAAACTATTAATATGTGCAAAGGAGATTAAAAACTGAATACTTTCTTATTTATAGCCATTCATAGTATTTATTGCAATAACAGATATTTAAAATTTAATTGAATGTACACTACCACCTACACTAGCAATATACCAACTGGTCTTATTTCTTAAATTACAGCATGGAGAACTTCTCCACATCAGGGTTACAGAGTTCTTAGAACAGCGTGCACACAGGGAGGTTTCTGAGTACCTCTTCTGAGCATGTGTTCTCCTTGCAGTAGCTGAACTATGGCTGTCTGGGTGGCAGGCACAATAATAATGCTTCCATCTTCCCGGCCACAAACAAGTCGCCCGTGTGCTGGTATGTAGACGCTCGCAGTTACTTTAAGAGGTTCATTGCTGTTGGGAATCACACTTAGCTGATCGATAATTCCAGCAGGGCAAGGCTTCAGTTTGTCAAATGCTTCTTGCAAACTAATACAAGTTGTCATTTTTAGCCCTGTAGAGATTTAGTGTCATATAAGATAAATACATTTGTTTAAAAAATAGTAATAACATTAAATAAATAATGTTGATTGATTCAGTAATGTACCAAATGTTTACTTTCATAAAATATAATACTTAGAAGAAAGTAATACATAAATATTTTCAATTTTGTTATGATTCAAAGTCTTATATTAAAAGAATTATGCACTCAACATGCAGATTTACTATTACCTTCATCAGCTTCCTGCTTATCTGCTATGTCTGCTATGTTCCAAATATTTAACCTTCCAGAAGAATCACCCTGAATTAGTAGCTTATGCAAATATTCCTTGCATCCATAGAAAAATCGAGTAACTGGAGGACAAATTACCAACTGCCGAAAAAAAAAGAAGGAAAAAAAAATTCAAGTGTCTTTAGCTGTATTTAGAAGTCAAATATTTTATAGATTAACATGTGTTCATATTAAGGTATTTAGATGCTTTGTTCATACCCCAGTTTTAAAAGTGCCTACAGCATGATTATTCGGTGTATTTTTATGTAATTTAATAGTGTTCATATTCATGTCAACTACAGTAGAACATAAATGCTAAAGGAATGAAAAACTCTGTAACATTTCTCTAAAACTAGTGTTTATAGTCTTGTGTTCAATTTTATAAAAATAGGTTACCAATCACAGGAAAAGTTACTTATTTGTTGTTAGATAATTAATCTAGAAATCAGGTCACTCTTAACCAAAAAGAAGTCTCTACTTTAAAAAAAAAAAAGAGTACTACATAAGCAACACTAAGCGGACTCAGCAGACTACTGATAATCACATATAGTGTAACTACAGTAACGAAAGAGGAGGAAGTCATCAGGTCGAAAGGGAGCCAACAGACAGGAGAGGCTGGGCTGGGAAAGCACAAGCCGGAAATGATACAAACACAGTACTCATGTATGAAATTCAAAACATAACAAATATATATTTGATTGCTTCAAAAAACTACTGGCTTCTAGAATTTACCTATAGTATGCATAGACAAGTATTTAACTTTACTTAAACTTTGATGATTTTAATTTAAAACTATATACTATATACTCAACAGGAAGCTACAAGAACCAGTATCACATTTCAGTGTCTGAGTGTCTCTCACCATATCACACATACATTTTAATATAAAATATACCACCACATGCTAGATAGATAGCTGGTATTTAAAGAAAATCATGTGCACATGATAGTTAATAATAACTGTCAACTTGACAGGATCAGTAAAGATGGGCCTCTGAATACGTGTGTAAAGGATCTTCTAGATTTCCACAGGCTGGGTCAGGACTGCATAAAACACAAGGCAAGCAGGACACCAGCATTCTGACTATGGATGCAATGTCACCAGCTGCCTTGGGCCTCTGTCTTAGATTTCCCCGCCAAGATGGACTGGATCCTCCAATCATATGGCAAACACACCCTGCTTCCTTTACTCTGATGTCAAGTATTTTGTGACAGCAACAAAGAATGTAACTAACCCAATATGTTATGTTTTTGTTTTTTGGTTTGTGTGTGTGTTTGTTTGTTTGTTTGTTTGTTTCAAGGCAGGGTTTCTCTGTGTAGCCCTGGCTGTCATGAAACTCACTCTGTAGACCAGGCTGGCCTCGAACTCAGAAATCTGCCTGCCTCTGCCTCCCAAGTGCTGGGATTAAGGGCGTGTGCCACCACTGCCTGGTGTTACGTTTTATTAATGCAGGTGTTCTCATACACATCACTATCCCTTAGTTTAGCTGAAGTGACTGACCAAGCTGGATGGTACCAAGTAGGAGTTCAAGAAAGTAGAAAGAAAATCATTTATATAGGATTTAAAATATACCTAGATGTACAAATTCTATATTTAAAATAGTCATAGAAAAAAAAAAAAACCATTTCCCTTCTCCTTACCATGCCTCCATTCTCCACTGATGGGTGGGACATAAGGTTCAGTATGATAAAACTGGAACGCAGAACCAAAACCAAAGCATACAAGACTTTCCTTTCCTAGACAAAGCTTCTTTCTTACTGTTCTCAGAGACCAGAGTACAAAATCCAATATAAGTGTTACTACATTTCAGTTTTCTTTTAGTTTCTGTGTATGAGTCTTTGCCTGCAGCATTTGTGTATCCCATGTGTTGCCTGCTGCCCATAAGTACTAGAAAAGAGTATTGGATCCCCTACGATCACAGTTAGTGTCAATTGTGAGCCACCATGAAGGTACTGGGAACTGAACCCAAATCTTCTGGAAGAGCAACAAATGTTCATAGCCACTGAGCCATCTCTCCAGCCCACACAATTCAATTATTAATAGTACAAAAGGCTTTTGGAAAACACAGTGAGTTTCTATTTCAATACAAAAAAATGTTTAATTTTTATTTTTAATACCCAGGTTTTTGAGCCACTATTTCATTTGAGAGATAATGAAATGCATGAATCAAATAACAAACAGCATCAGTCACCATTAACACACAACTATCCTTGTCCGTTAAAAACTATCTTCACCGTGTTTTAACTGTATAAGATAATTTAATGGTCAATATGAATTTTATAAAAAAGCCAATTCTAATACATAATCAAGATAAGATCACTTGTATTCTTACATAAAGGCAGGTACTATTTAATAGTTAAATTGCATATTAAAAATCTGCAAATTTTGAAATGTGCTTGTAACTCACCATATCAGTTTGTTAGTGAAATTGAACACTCTGCTGGACTTTACTGAATTTCTGAAATGTCTATACACTATCAATGTAATTATCAATTATAAATGATACTTGAAGAATTTTACCTCTTTATCCTTCTGATCCAAGAGACTATGCTGCACAGGAGGAATCAAATTTTCAACTGCTTTCCCCACATCACTGCGGAATGAATCACTAGCTGGAAGGCAACTGAAACAGGAAAGCAAGTATCCACTTAAAATACTCATGGGAGGGCAAGGCATGGTGGTGCACGCCTTTAGTCCCAGCACTTGGAGGCAAAGGCATCTGTGTGTTCAAAGCCAGCCTGGTCTACACACTGAGTTCTAGGACAGCCAGAGCTACATAGTGAGAGCCTGTCTCAAAATTAAATAAGTAAAATAAATGATATGAAAATATTTTATTCCAAAGTTTATGATCATAGACAAAAATGGGATTTTTAAGTTTCAATTAATTTAAGTACAGATTAAATAACTTTAAAAAACATTCTTTGAAGGCTCATGAGATGTCTCACAGGTGAGACAGCTTGCTGCCAAGTCTGACAATCTGAGTTTGATTCTTGGAACCTACAGGAAAGAAGAGAACTGATCCCCCTGAGTTGTCCTCTGACCTGTACACATACACAGTGGTATATGCATGCACACATGCACATACACACATATAGAAAATAAATGAGTGTAAAAAATCTACCTGTTTCTTTGTACCTAGAAGTTAAACTGAAATTATATACAAACTTTAAGACATTCTGAAGCTAAATATTTACAATCCATAAATGTTCTTACTTTAGAGTTATGCCTCAAATTCTAAATTCTTTACATTTAACTAAAATCTTAACATATCTATTTCACACCTGGCAGGGAGTTTATAAATGTAACTCTGCCCATTTTCAGTCCAAATGATGACTTTGTCTGCAGACACAAAGTCCCCTCCAGTCCATGTCTGTCCATTTTCACTAGGACCTGAACACAACAGGGAGTAGTCGCCAGCATCGAACACCTAGGAGAAAAAGAAATTCACAATTTTAGTTTACTCCAGCTTGTTATGATTTAAGTAAGACAGAATAACAATTCACCTGAAAGAAAACTTCTGAAAACATATTTAACAAACCCAGGCTTTTAAAATATGATTCAGCAGATGACGATATTTTCTCAGTGAGATCTGGGGCAGTTATCATAGGTCCCAGCTCTGAGTGACCCCTGGCAGACAGTGAACTAGGTCAAGTGCAGTAGGTGTGTTCCCAGTATCGGAACAAGAATCCTTAGTCATTTGTATGTTGAGGAAGGAAGCACATCTTGGATAGAGGCCAATAATAGGAACTCCACCCTCTAGAACACTTACCATAACTGACACTGCATTTATCTGGTACATTTATCTGGTACATGTCTGACCACATACTCTGACACTGTAATATTTTCTGCTCAGTAGAATTATCTTGCTTGGCCTTATTACATCAGTATTCTTAAATTATTAGTATGAATAGGAAGTTAAAAGACTCCACTTTAATATTTAGTAATTCTGTACAGAAAGACCATAATTTCACTAAGAACAGCACCTAGTGACCTCGCATAGGTTTACTTTTACAAAGCACATGAAGTTCACAGGTACATTTATAATTATCTTATCTGACCCTCAGAACCACTAAAGGACACAGGCAAGCAGTTATTGGCACCCTGATCTACCATCAGGAGATGGATACAGAGGACACTAGCAACACTCGGTCAATGTCATGCATCAGGAACTGGGTATGTTGAACACCAGCAATCTCAGCAGAGGCCAGCAGATCTCTATGAGTCTGAGGCTACTGGGGTCTACATAGACTTGCAGGTCAGCCAAGGCTACATACCAATACCCTGTCTCAAAAAAAAGAAAGAAAAAAGAAATGAAAGAAAGGAAAGAAGGAAAAGGAAGGAAGGAGGAAAGGAAGGAAGGGAGGGAGGGAGGGGGGGGGCGGGGGCGGGAAGAAGGAAGGAAGGAGAAGAAGGAGGAAGAAATAGGTATGTACCAATATGTGATAAAACTTGGAGGTATAAAACCCCTAGGTTTACAATTCCTAACAGACTAGTTCCTTCAACCACTTCCAATACTTGCAATGCTTGATAAAAGTACATTCTAAAATTGCTCAAGAGTAGTGAGAATCCATCATTCAATAGCACAGTCTTTTTTTTTTTTTTATGTTACTCTTCTTCAGAGAAAACAATGACCTTTGGCTAGGAATACAACTCAGTAGAGTGATTGCCTAGCATGCACGAGATGCCCCGGGGTTCCATCTCCACCGCTACATAAGCCAGGTCTGCAACACCAACCCCAGCACTCAAGCGCAGGCAGGAGGGTTAGAAGCTTGACATCAGTCCCAGCTACACAGCAAGTCTGAGGCCAAATTTAAGAGTATTTCAGATTACAAAACTCTCTAGATAATTTTTAGTTTGTTTTATGCTTTTTGTTTATACAATTGTTTGTCAGAACTGTTATCCAGTGCCTCAGCTGCATCAAAAACAAGGGTGATGGGTTTCTGTGAGAGATGTCCTTACTACCCTAGGGGGAAGGATGCTTATTGAAAGTGTGTGTTCAATCATACCAATGTAATATGATCTTCCAGGGAATCACAAACAGCAGTGTTTTAGGAATCAGCCACTGAAGGAGCTCTAGCCGTTAACCTATTCACCATGGCTACCTTATTATATGTTTTTACTAAAACTGCATTTTAAGCATGGAGGTAGCCATTGAATGATAGAAAAAAAAGTAACATGTGTCATAATAGTATGGAACACACACACACACACATAGTACACAGACAATCGTGCAGGAAAACATCCATACTCATAAAAATAAATTTACATTTCAAGTTAGATAAAGCAACTGTTCCTACCAAAGTAGGTGGCTTCTGAGATGTGCCCACCTAACGCCCTCCTCCCTTCAGTGCACACTAGATTTTCTGACAGTTTCTAGAGCAAATTTTGTTTCTAGAATGTAGTGAGAGGCATGAGTTCTCAATTCTAAGATCAAGAGCATCTTTGTCCTTTACTTGTTCACTTACTGGGAGAGAAGCCTGCTAGCCTGCTATGGGCGGCTCCAGTGAGAGGGCTACAAGGCTATCACTCAAGGAATAAGAATGGAATAAGGAATGGGAAAAATGTCTTCATTCACCAGTCAGAGAGATCAAAGGCCTAACTGTCACATAAAGAAGTGTAGGAAATCCGCCAAAGGCTAAACTTGCAAATGAGATCAAAGTCTCCAAAGATACTGTGATGGCAGCCTATGGAAAACTCAACCTGAGGTGCCCAGTAAGCTAAGCCCTGATCCTTCACAAAACTGGACAAGAATGCATTCCTACTGTTCTTTTTTTTTTAATATGGAACGCTTCACGAATTTGCGTGTCATCCTTGCGCAGGGGCCATGCTAATCTTCTCTGTATCGTTCCAATTTTAATATATGTGCTGCCGAAGCGAGCACCATTCCTACTGTTCTAATGTAAGTTTTTGAGGGATTTGTTACGCAGATTTAAATAACAAGCACCCTTTCCTCAGTTGGTATAAGTACTGAAATTGGTCAGCCAGTATAACTCCCAACTAAATTCTAAATATTTGTCCTCATCCTACATCAAAGAAACCTCTCTTTTGCAACAGATGGAAACCATTACAGAAAACCACAATCAATCAAAAAGAAGAGCTGTGGAATCCAGTCCCAATGGATACATCTACAAAATAATTCCCTTACCTAAGGCGCAGAGACCATTGTAGGATGATCCCCGGGTGACTGAAAATTGTAAGACCCCAAGGAGCAGGGGATTTGCTCTGAAATTACATCTCCCCAGAACTGTCAGAAGTTACACCATAAAGTCTCACCAGCAGGACTGCCGAAACATGAGCTGAACAAGGACAACAGCAATAGACATGCTAACACTGAGAAAGGCCCTCAAAGCAGGAGACTGAGGCGTGCTGAGAGCTGGAGAAATAGTCTTCCCCAGGGAAAGGCACACCAATTTGCCATCCAATGCCAAATAATCAGCCCTGAACACAAACATTCAAGTAACATGACATAGCTTAAACAAGTTGTGTTCATGTATTTAGGAAAGTATGGGGAGGCAGAGGCAGGCGGACTTCTGAGTTCGAGGAAAGTATGTGTATACACATACACACACACACACACACACACACCACACAGACACACAGACAGACAGATACACAGACAACAGACACACACACACACACACACACACACACACACACATCAATGAGGCCATAAATAGAGAAGGAATATATGGAAGAGTTTGGAGGGAGGAAGGGGAAGGAGAAAATGATGTAATTTCATTAAAATCACAAAAATAAAGGGAAGGAGAAAATGATGTAATTTCATTAAAATCACAAAAAATTAAAAGGAATAATTTTTTTAAATACATGGAAGCTTTGAAAATTAAGCACAAAACAAATGTTCAAAAACACACTGGCTAGTTTTCTATGACTAAAGACAAGCAATGTAGGTGGAAAAATCCTCCTCTTGTCATTAGCTGTCCAGTGATAGAGTTAAGACTTCCAATTTGAAGAAGTCAGGAAACATGTATTATTTAGGTTTCGTAACATACTACAAAAAACCATCCAGCCTACAGAGACTCATTACCACCACTTACACAATAACTAAGTAACAGCAAAAAGTAGAAAATAAGACCAATAAAACCATTCCACAGAGTCAAACAAAAAGACTGCTACAACACATCGAACCAAACAGGAGTTCCGAATGACTGTCAAGTCTTGTGTCCCATCCATCCATCCTTGGGATTATCTTTAGAACCTGGTAAGCTGTACCATAAACTGTATCATAAACGAGAAGAACACAGCTTCTTATTTTCAACTTACCCTCCAGTATTTGGAGCACACGACCAAAAGTGACCTCTGAGTGAACGCACAAAAAGAGATGCTTTGGCAATTCTGACAATAAATTGGTTTGGATTCCTCCTCAAATATTGGCTCAGTATCCTAAAAAGAAAAAGATTTACAAAGTCTCAGGAATAACACATATTAATTAAAATCATCACAAAATGATAAAGACACCACCAGGGAACAAAACTACCATGTGATACATTCATCATTTTAAACCCTTGGGTAAAAAGCCAAGACAAAAGTGTACTCTTAAGAGGAGCAGGACATGGACTGGAGAGATGGCTCAGTGGTTAAGAACATTGGCTGCTCTTCCAGAGGGTCTGAGTTCAATTCCTAGCAACCACATGGTGGCTTGCAACCATCTGTAATGAGATCCATCGCCCTCTTCTGGCATGCAGGTGTGCAGATAGAGCACTCATTTACATAAAATAAATAATTAAAAAAAATGAGGAGCGGGACAAAAGTGTCCTTGCTCTGAAGCAGTCCTGAAGTTAAGTCAGCACATCTTCACTAGAAATGGCAGGTGACTGCATTTTGCAATAGTCCTACGGTTATAAATACTTTCAGTTTTTGAAAAACTGATTCTTCCAGTCTTTTCAAGTTCAACACTAATAGTTCCTTAAATGAAGTGCAAAATATCACTATAGTTAGGAAATTGATCTTTCTCGAAAAACCAAAAAAAAAAAAAAAAAAAGGAAATTGATCTTTCTTGTCAAAAGTAAAAATTGTTCTAGTCCATATGACTGACTATGAAAAAAGACTAAAAATGGCTTTTAATGGTTTGTTTGTTTGTTTGTTTTTGATGATGTTGGTGTTTGAACATGAAATGTCCCCAAGGACTCAAGTGTTAAACCTTATTCTTTACTCTATGCTGATGCCGAGAGGCACTGGAAACTTTAGGAGGTATGTGCAGTCAAAGTTGGTCGCTGGAGGCACACCTTTATTACACCTGGTCCTAAATCCCTTCCTTACTCTCTGCCTCCTGCTGCCCCAGAGTAATCAGGCCTTGCCCTCTACACTTCTGCAGCCATGATGTCGCTCACTACTGGCCAGTCAGTCATGCCAAGGACTACATACTGAAGTCTCCGAAACCACGAAGGAAACTAAGTCCTTCCTCCCTCAGACTGTGTCTGTCAGGCACTGTCACTGTGCTGTAAGGGGGATACAAAAGTAACTAAAAAAGGTAGTTGGCTTTATTTAGTTCATTCAAGCAAGCCCTTCTAACTGTTATTTTAAACAAAAGCAGGAGGAAAACACCTCTTACATTTCTCTACTGCATATCCTGGATGATACATTTCTTATTTTACATTCTTGATGGAGCAAATCTCTCCATGAGAACAGAGAAAAATAACTCACTCATGCTAGCAAACGAAAGGATCTTTTCTAATATATGCATGTGATTATTTCAATAGAAAAGTTTTTTAAAAAAATAAGTGAATACACGAATCCTACAAGGTTTAAATGACAAAATAATAAAGATAGATATCACTGCCCATCTCACCTGCATTCCACTAACTTCAGAGGTAACAATCCACACCTTCAGAATACCTGTCACGGAGAGCGCTACCACAGTGTCCTCTAAACCAGGGAGAGACAAGAAGCCAAGGTCAAACACAGCATGCTTTCTTCTAACATTAAAACTGTCTGCTCTCATGAACTCAGGTTAAAAAACATAGTTCCCGCCGGGCAGTGGTGGCACACACCTTTATTCCCAGCACTTGGGAGGCAGAGACAGGTAGATTTCTGAGTTCGAGGCCAGCCTGGTCTACAGAGTGAGTTCCAGGACAGCCAGGGCTACACAGAGAAACCCTGTCTCGAAAAACCAAAAAAAAAAAAACAAAAAAAAGCATAGTTCCCTATGCTTAGAATTATATAAACTCAGTGTTTACATCAGTGTTCTTTTCTGAAACAAATTATGTTTGCCCTCATGGTTTCCAATGAAACTTCATCGTTTCAAAGCAAATGAAGAAGCAGTAGCAATACTGACTGCGAGTAAGCAGTTCCTCATGTTCATTCAATTTTCTCTTCCCTTTTCACTGTCTCCATGACAAATGGTGCCTCTTGGCAAGAGATAAGACCAGAATCCAGAAACACACATGAAGCTACAGGTCTTAGCACCACCACACACTAGCAATGCTAACCCTGCCTCACTGGAGAAAACTCTCATAAGCTAAAGCTTCCAGGAGCCTGGTGACCCGCCATACTGATGGGAGATAATCTAACACCTGTGAGTTAAATATTAATTCAGCCAAAACCCACTGTGAAGGGAACAGATCACAAATTACTCAAACAAATATCTGTTGAATATAAGAATAAACCGAAATTGTTAACTTTGACAAACTATAGCTTGTCAAGTAAACTAAGCAGTAGGGTGATGTTCAAGCTGCCGGAAGGAGTAACCTACTGACCTTGTGTCCGGTGAGAGCGGATAATGCTCATGGAGCTAATCCAGTCTGGCGATATCTTTGACACCAAAGAATACAACACCTCAAGGCTGGTAGCATCCACGACGAGGATTTCAGGGTAATGCCCATGGCACAGAAGCCTTCCCTCTTGCTGATTTCCAACAGAGAACTGGTAGAACTAAATTCAAATTTTAAAAAATATATTTTTTAAATGTACTGCTTCAGTTGGGAAACTTGAAAAACATGCATTAATTAAACATGTTATGATATTCTTGTAAACACTGCATTATTCCAGTAATCATTTCAGATGAGTAAATCCATGTTAGGTTATACTAATTTTTAATATTTAAGAAAAAATATTTTCCTAATGTCACATACTCACTTTTGAACTCTTATGAGGCAAAACCAATGATTAATCTTTTTATCTTTATCTCTAGCATCTAAAGCAGATAATTTCATGAGGAGGTAAGGGACTCATTTTTGGTTTTGTGTTTTGGTTTCATTAGTTTGGATTTTACTTGTTTGCTTGGGTTTTTATTGTTTTAGTTTGGTTTAGGTTTGGGTTTTTTGTTTTGCTTTGCTTTCTGTTTCTGTTGTTGTTGTTTTGTTTTTATACAGGGTCTCACAACGTTGCTCTGTTCTGGTTGGCTTGGAACTCTCAATATACACTATCCTAGCATCAAGTTCACAGAGATCCACCTGGCTTTACGATCAGAGTCCCAGAAGTAAGGGAAAGTATCACCACACAAGCTATAAATAAATAAATAAATAAATAAATAAATAAATAAAATGAGCTTAACAAATTAAATAAAAAAGGAACTCATATGAGTCACAGAACTAATCTGAATTCTAATAGGAACAGATGAGCGTGACAGATACACAGTCTGTCACAGTCTACCCATCGACAGAACCTTAAATCACACCTTAGTGAGGGTCACTGTCACTGTGATCAATCACCATGACCAAAACAACTTGGAGAGAAAGGCCTTATTTCACTCATAGTCCCATATAACAGTCCATCATCAAAAACAACGACAGCAGGCACTCAAGCAGGGCAGGAACCTGGAGCCAGGAGCTCATGCAGAGGCCATGGAGGGCGCCACTTACTGTCTTATTTCCCATGGCTTGCTCACCTGCTTTCTTATAGAAGTCAGGTGCACCAGCTCAGGGATGGCGTCACCCACAAGGAGCTGGGCCCTCCCACAAAAAAAAAAAAAAAAATATATGCCCTACCACTGGACTTAAGGGGTATTTTCAATTGAGGTTCTCTTCTTTAAGATAACTGTAGCTTGTACCAAGTTAATATAAAACTAACCAGCACAAACCACGTAGGAATTCAAGATACCTTCACATTTCCTAGGGAGTTTCTAGATTGGGTTAATTGAAGAAGAAAAACCCACCTTAATGAGGGTGGAACTATCACATGGGCTGAGAACCAAGCTGACCATGGAATTCATTTCTCTGCTTCCTAACTGCAGAAGTAGTGTGATCAGCTGCCTTTACCTTTGCCACCATGCCTTTCTGGCAATGACAGATTGTATCCACTTGAACTGAAATAAATCCTTGCTCCCCTAACTTAGCACGTATTTTTTTCACAGCAACAAGGAAATTTAGTAATGCGGTAAACAGAGAACAGAAGTGAAGGATGACTGACATTCAAGCATAGTATAATCTATTTTCTCCCAGGACCCCTAGACACTAACAAAGAGGATCCCGGGACCCCTAGACTCAAGCACATACACGTATACAAGGGGAAGGTGCCATGTGGAAAGAATGAGCTCAGAGGAAGTAGGAGAGAAGAGTAGTTGCCTGAGGGCATGGATATTTTATTAGAATTGCCCAACTAAAAGCCTCTGTACTTGATTTAATGCTATATTCCCAACACTTTTCTGCATACTGTTTCTGCATTTAAGACACTTTGATATTGGGAAAGAGGATGTCTACATGGAGATCCAAGTTTTCCATGCATTTAAGAAAAGATGTCTCTACTACTTGCTGGAGGTGAAGGGGAGGTACACCCATGAACTCTCAACACCTGTGACTGCTACACAAAACCTGCATGACCACACCATTTACCATTCCAGCACGAGTGGATGAATGACTCAAGGCCCCACTGTTGGGGATTTTTGATTTATGCTTACATAGGGATTTGCAGTCCGCTGCAGGTCCCTGCCAATGGTTGATTTTTGGGGGGAGGGGCGGGGGGTTCAAGACAGGGTTTCTCTGTGTAGCCCTGGCTGTCCTGGAACTCAAACTGTAGACCAGGCTGACCTCGAACTCAGAAATCCGCCTGCCTCTGCCTCCCAAGTGCTGGGATTACGCCCAGCATCAGTTGATTTTTTTGACTGGTCAATAAAGAGCCAAAGGCCAACAGCTAGACAGGAAACAGAGGCAGAACTTTAAGGATTCCCGGAAAGATAACACAAGGGAGAAGGAAAACAGCCAGGGCAGAAGAAAGGAAGAGGATACAAGCATGAGAGCTGTGGAAGACAGAGAACCAGCCATGTAAAATCAGGGAAAAGCAGCCCCAGGGGCTACTCCCCCATTGGGTCTGGAGTAGCAGAGATGAAGTATAGATTTTAGAAAATAATAACTCAGGAATACAGGAGAGGAGTATGTGCTAGCAGTGGGAGGGTTAGAAGTGACCAGCCATTGAGCTAGTTAAGGTATATTAAAATATAAAGGGTGCGTGTGTGTGTGTGTGTGTGTGTGTGTGTGTGTGTGTGTCTGTCTGTCTGTCTGTCTGTCTGTGTTTTATTCATGAATCCAGAGTTCTTGGGTGGGTGCAGAGCCACGCTGCACAGAGAGCACACCTTAACTATTCATCACCACACCCCAGCCCAGCTGAGGGTAAACTGCTGAGGGAGGGTGAGTTATTTTTCTTCAGTGACCTTAAGCCCCCTCACAGGTTGCTCATGCCCAGGTAGTCACCTCTAAGCCATGTGCATACACAGGCAGCACTAACTGAACTCTGTAGAAACAATAATATTATAGAACAAGACTACAAGAACAGGAGAACTGGGTATGGAAGGGGACCCAGGAGAACTTGGGAGTGAGGACATGTGATGAAAATGGACTAAACACATATGAAATTCTCAAAAAAATATTAACATAAAATGTTGCACAGAATCATTTAATAAATTGCTATTTTTATGTCATTTCAGTAAGTGCAAATGTCACCAAGGGTCATCTCTGTGTACATAAAAACAGTCTTTGCCAATGTAATGGCACATACCTTTAATCCCAGTACTTGGGAGGCAAAGGCAGGCAGATCACTGTGAGTTCAAAGAAAGCCTGGTCTACATAGTAAGTTCCAGAATAGTCATGGCTATGTAGACAGGTCCTGTCTCAATAAAAATGATAATGATGATGATGATAACAATAACAACAATAACAATAGTAAATATTATCATTATTATTATTATTATTATTATTTAAAAATTCTGGATATGAATGAGTGAGGAGGACAGAGTAAATTGTCATAATAGCCATAAATCTGCCAAAAGCTGTCTTCTATTTATATATAACTACTAATCTAAACACAGAAGGTCTAGAACAGAACTAGATTTTTTTTAAAGTACTTGAAATATATTCAGCAGAAATAAGTAATTCCCTTAAAACATAAAACAGAAGTTTTAAAACCAGAACTGCAAATTGCACTAAAAACCAAAATAATTACATATGATGAGCTTGACACAGCTTTTACGCTAAAATAATATAAAATGAAAGTGTTTCACATTTACATGAGTGTAGCTGGTGCACACAAATATGTGTGCACATATCTGTAAAGACCAGAGGACAGCCTCATGTGTCATTCTCCAGGCACCATCATATTTACTTATCTATCTATCTATCTATCTATCTATCTATCTATCTATCTATCTAAGACTAGGTTTCTCACTGGTCTGAAACTCATCAAGTAGGCTGGCTGGCCAGTGAGTCCCATGTTTTAATGATACATTTGTCAAAAACTGTGTTGACGCAGACAAAGAAATAGATACAAACCTGTATGCCAGTGTGTGTGCAGGCTAATTTTGTAAATTCAATACATCTGCCGTCATTCACGTCCCAGAGGCACATCTCTCTATAAAACAAAATAATAGCTCATCCTGGATCTAATTTACAATAGTAACCTTGTCGTGGTGGCTTACAGTTAACTTCCATTGGAACTAATATACTGCAGGAAGAAAAGTAGCTTATATTCATCACTGCTCTTGATCAAATTTTCCATTCCCTTCTCTCACTATTCTAACCCCATTTCCGACCTATCAACAACCCCATTTCAGTCTACAGCAGTCTTGGAACAGAGATGCACTCCTGATTCCTCACTGGTTGCTAGAGTCTTGAGAGTAGTTCTTGCCAGAACTTAAGTGAGGCTCTCCAGAATGTTCCTTCTCCTTTGCAGAGGTTTCACACAGTGGCTGCTCCAACTAGCAGCTGTTCCCTCATCCGGAAGCTGAACCTTAAGGAAATAAGGAAGCAGAGCCAACCCGGAAGTGATATGCAAGGACTGAATGAACATCCAGAGAGAAAACTGTAATCTGAACTTCTGAGAGCCAAAGGATACATTAGTGTGCCCTGCACATACAGCACTGTAAAACACAAGCCAGCTAAAGCCAGCAGAGCCCCAGCCATCAGCACTCCACTACAGCTCTTATGTGTGTTAGTTTTAATATATGAACACCAAAAAAATCCTTATATTTCAAACTAAAGAATATACTGAAAATTATACATATTGCTATGTCTTGTCTTTTAAAGAAATAAGGTTTACTTAACAGAAAAATAGTAATAAAGTGTGGAGAGTAACTTTTATTCACCTGATGTAATTGTTGTCTCCGAAGATTACTGCCTCTATATGCTAACTGAGGCCTACTCCTTGAAGCTTCTAGCCTCTCTAGGTCTAGAAGGTTTTCAGCCTCTGAGGCTTACTGCTGATTTAGCTCACCCTTTCTTGTTTTTTTCTAATCTCTAGCTGTCTGACTCAACTCAGTTTTTCTGGCTCCAGCTCCTCTCCAAGCTGACTGAATCAATCTGGCTTCTCTCTGTCTCTGCCCCTCCTGAATTGCTCGGCTTGTCGCAAACTAACTCTAGCAATCTGTTCTAATCTTGTGACTCCCTCTTATTCTCTGGCTCATTCTGTCTTCACCTGAGTCTAGCCTGTTCCCTCCTCAAGCTGTCTCTGTACAACTGTCTTGGTAAAACTGTCTCCACTCCCTGCACTGCTCTCTCTTAAGGAGCCTCCCTTAATTCTGTCTTCTCATGAGAGTTGGGCATATCCTACTCTGTCAAGTCTTTCTCTGATTCACCACTTTGTCTGCCACTCAATTAGATATCACTTTTAAACATGGGTGCTTCCTTCTACAAATTAGCTTTACCTTCATTTCTTGGGATTAAAGGTGTGTACAAGAGGTATGTCCATATTCTACAAGAGGGATTAAAGGTGTGTGCTAAGAGTTGAGCCACACCACAACTAGAAAACAGTTTTTTTCAGTAATTAATACAACCTCGAGGGTTCACAGTGTGATCAAATATCCTGCAACAAAAATATAATGGTATTTCCTAAAGTTTATTTTGTAACATCTCAAATGATATATAAATATCATTGAGATGATACCATTGTTGTTTGGTACTTGGTTTTTGAAACAGAGTCTTGCTATGTAGCCCCAGCTGGCACGGAATTTACTAGGTACCCATGATAGTCTCTAACTTGCAGCAATCTTCCTGCCTCTCCCTCTGGAGTGCTGGGATAACAGGTGTGTCAGGCATACACCACCATACCTTGCTGAAACAATTTTTCAATCAGCATTCACTTTAAAACAAGTATTCTGCCGGCCAGTGGTAGTGCACGGCTTTAATCCCAGCAGTTGGGAGGCAGAGGCAAGCGGATTTCTACAGAGTGAGTTCCAGGACAGCCAGAGCTACACACAGAAACCCTGTCTCGAAAAAACAAACACAAACAAACAAACAAACAAAAAAACAAGTGTTCCAATGCAAAGGATCCTTTATTGCCAAAAAAAAAGTATTGTTTTTTCTTAATGTTGTCTCTTCCCGTTTCAAAAAAATTCATATAAATTCCAACCCAAATATTATAGAAGGGGAAAAAAAGATGTTTTATATAAATGTCTGCAAGTTCTCCAACTTGTTTCAAAAAAAAAAAAAACCAAAAATGTTTTTAAAGTTCTTCCCATTCTGGAACCTACTGAGACTGTTCCATGGCCTGCCTCTCAACACAGGGCATATTCTGAGGCAGGGGAACTAGCTTCAGGAGCATGTAAACACACAGCATCACAACAGCAAAAACTTGGCAGAGCTCTGCCTCCCACTCTGGGACAGCATGGCATCACTTGAGTTTCTTAAGAACCCCAAAGTTGCCAGCTGATTCAATAAAAATGTCATGCAAACTAATGATCATGCTTTTACTTTCATGAGATACTGGGTTTCTCAAAAACAATGAAAGGCAATAAATTATTAAAGAAAATTAGTTGTAAAAAACAATTATTCTTAAAAATACAATTTAAACATCCTCTTTCAGATTTAGACAGTGCAAGAACATGCTGCAGTAGAAAGAAAATTCTCCCTGGTCATGCTAGTTATAAAATATGAAAATATCAATCAATGTCACATGGCAATCTATAAACACAATTTTTTAAGACTTATTTGTATTTTTCCCCTATGTGTTTATGTGTGAGTCTCTCTGTGTCTGTGCTTTGTACGTGTGGGTGCCCATAGAGTACAGAAGAGGTTGTTGGATCCCCTGGAGTTGACCTTAAAGGTGGTTGCGGGCTGCCCAACATGGGTGCTGGGAACTGAATTGGGGTCCTCTAGACAAGCTGTAAGTGCTCTTCAACTGAGCCATCTCTCCAGCCCTATAAACTCACTTTTTAACTAACAAATAAAAACTATGTCCTTTTTGCTTTTTAAGGCATGGACTCACTGTGTGACCCTAGCGAGCCTAGAATTTTCTATGTATATCCAGCTGGCCTCAAACTTATACAGATCTACCTGCCTCTGCATTCTATGTGCTGGCATTAAAGGTATACACCACCAAACTCAGCCAAGATCCACATTTTTTAAGACATAAAAAGTTGGGGGACTGGGGAGAGAAACCAGACCAAAAAACTGAAAATAGAAAGCAGAATATGACTTACCCATTTGCAGATGCACTCACAGTGTACTGTTTGTCCCCAGAAGCACAGGCTTTTGACAAACAAGTGATGGATGCTGTGTGACCAAATAACAGTGCTCGGGGATTAACCTAGAGAGGGAAAAATGTGCTGCTATAAATAACACACTATTAAGTTAACCTTGGGGCTGGAGAGATGGCACAGTGGTTAAGAGCATGTGCCATTCTTTCAGATGACCTGAGTTTGGCTCACAATTACCTGTAAATCCAGCTTTGGGTCTCTGTGAACGTCCAGCAGCATGTGCACATACACACAGAGTCGCGCATACACACTTATATAAATAATTTTTTAACAGTTAACCTTTCAATCAATAATCATGTAAAGTATTCAATATAAATATACAGGCTCAGATTGAAAGAGACAATGCCCAGACACTGAAAAGTAAGGGCAGGCAAACACTGTACTGTGTGATGTGCTAGTAGTTATTGACTTATGTTTTAAATGTACGGCAAACATTCCAATACTCACCTCCAGTTCTACTGAAAGATCCCAGAGACATATTTGTCCATCATGGCATCCAGTTACAATTGTACCCCCATCATCTGTCAACAGTATTGACGAAATGCAATGCGTGGGTGCTTTGCGGCCCCAAAGAACAATGGGCAGAACTAGACTGTTTCCTGCCATGGCGTTTTCAAACCTGAAAATGTGGTAAGAGTAATGTCAGATAGTCTTCCTAAAATACATTATATGCCTTTATTATGAAGTCAACTTCATAATAAAGATAAGTATATTTTCTAAATACCATGTTTTAGCCACTTAAAATGCTCTCAAATAAAATGGCTAATTTATCATATTTATTCCCAAAGTCAAGAGCTTAAAACATTGGGCAAAAGTATTTACTGGAGGCATTCACAATTTTTAGAGTTTTATTCTTGAAAGTCTAATTATTTCAATACACATTGATTTATCACATCAGTGTATAAAGCAACTTTAAGTGCACCATTTTATTTCAAATCCTAAAACAGTCTTCCTAGCTTAGAAGATAAGAAAATGAGACCTAAGCATTACCTGTCCTGAGACCCTGAGACAGAAAGCTAGGAAGCCATAGTGCTCAGATCCAGGTTCTGGCTGACTGGTGCCACGTCTACTGCCTCCACAAGTAAAATAGTCAAACCCCAAACTGTACTCAGAAAACATGGTACATAAAGACGATACCAACATCACTGGGCAAAGGTTTTAAAGGACATCCATGGTCTGAGAAATCTGTTAAGCATTGTGTAGGTGTAAATATAAATACATTTGATCTCGATCCTTGAATTCCATAAGGTGAGTTCTATGGCACTATCTTTTGACAAAGACATTAGACAGAGTCATGCAGAGACAAGTGATGGACCCAGATCAGCACCCTGATGCCAGAACCTATACTCTGCCTTACTCTCTGAGTTAGGAGGACCTCAAACCTCAGTAAGTTTCCAAATTAGTATAAAATAAATCCCTTCCAAAACAAACTACAAGGTCTGTTTCACTGTGTGCTAAACACTGAGTGAACATACTTAGTGAGAAACTCACTCAACCACATTTACTCCAGAGGTCACGTATGTCCTTTGTTGTGCTGAAACCTGGGGAAAAATAATGTCCTTAAATGACTGCACCCAAATTAAAGTATGTTTCTGGTGAGGAGATTGAAATTTGAAATGATAATTAATCAGTGTAAACTCAAGTATATCTCTTTTTTTAAATAATTTATTTATTTTTTTCAAATTGTAGTTTATACTCATTCACACAGGGGTTATAAACACAAAAAGGCAGGACGTGGGGAAGGGGATGACACTGGAGTGTGGGTGTTCAGGGGGAATACAGATATCTTTCAGAACAGGGTATCAGCTGGGTGAAAGTTCAGGGGACAGGTCACTATGACTCTGCCTATGATTCACTTGTCCTTATCTAAGTTGGTATTGTCTGCCCAGGCTACCTATTTACAAGGTCTATGACTACTCAGGCTTGTAAATTTCCACAAAAGCTGCCTGTTGACATTAGCTTATAGCCATCTGTTTCAATGTTTTTCCACTGAGACCCAAGACTTGGTGTTAGTATACATGCATGACAAGCCTATTGCTGATTTTAGGCCTATGGCTGATTTTAGGCCTTCAGTGTGTAAACAGGGATGCCCCTGACATCTCCTCCCTTCTCTAAGTATAGAAGGGCTGTGGCGATTCTAATCTTTAGAAGGTGGGGATAGAGGCCTGATCTCCAGTAATTGAAGGGGACCTTGTAATGGCTCCAGTCCCCCTGTCGTTGTCCAGTGAGGCATGAGGGCCATAACCATTCCGATGTCTTTTTCCTGGAGAGGGGATACTTTTGACATCAATCCCTATGCAGTCAGGCTTGTCCCTCAGGGAACCCAGAGAGATATTTTTAACTTTTATTTATATTCCCTTGCAGTGCTTAGCCTCATAGCCTAAGTAAGAATTCAGATCGCCAGTCAGAGGGGGTTCTGGGTGGTCCCTCTCTGCTTGGTCTAGGGGCAGAAGTTCCCTCTTTTAGGTTGGGTGGAGATGGGTTTTGGGTACACCCTGGATAAAGTAACAACCTCATCTTGAGTCTCGTGGTCCTCCATAGCTAACTTATGATAATGTATCTGAATAGGTTTTGCTACCAAATTATTTATCTGTTGTTTCACAGAGTTAGTCAGCCTATTTGAGGCCCAGGGACCAGAAGAAATAAACAAAAATAACCCAATTAATGGTTCCAAGATGGGAGGAAGTAGGGTTGACAACCATGGAGAGGCTGAAAACCAATTGTTATACCAGCACTCATCTTTCTCTTTCTCTCTTTGATTTTTCTCAGGGCCTTCTCTGACCTTTTTATGCTCTCTTTAACCATCCCTGTCTTGTCTATGTAAAGGCAACATTCTTCTTTAAGGGCTGTACACAGTCAAGAGCTGTACACAGCCTTTCCTATTGTAATAGAGTAAATCAAGTCCAATAAGAAGCTTTGCAATTTTAGGAGGTCTCTTCAGACAGTGAAACGAGGGATTTCTTCAGATTAGTGATGTCAATCTCTAGTTGTTTGATGTTCTTGTCAGTGGCCCTTCAAAGGTCTGAGTAGTATAAGTTCAGAGGCCAGCATCTGGATTAGAACTTTTAACAGCAGACCTCACGGGTGATTCATTTTTATCTGAGATGCTGCCCAAGTTAAAGCTCCTGGGAGGCCCTCTTCCTCTGGGTTTTGTGAGGTTGGGTACAGAGCTGCCGCCTAAGATCTGCTCTATGCTCTGGCCCAGACCGGAAGTCCCTCAAGTATACCTCTTATAGGAAATCATAAACATAAGATATCAGTGCTTCATATAACAAAACTTTTTGGTAAACCACTTAAGTGTTACAGCTAGATGGCTAAAGACCTAAATAAATGTGAGTTGAGAGAAGTTAGGACAAAATAAAATAATCAAAGAGGGCTCCACGCAAAAGAGAACTCTGCTAGGTCTAGGGAGCTACCTAGAGCCTGGCAGATGGTCAATCAAAAGAAACTGTCTAAAGAGAAAACAAGGAAACTAAGAAGGTCTGGGGGACACTGGAATGCCTGCCAGAAACAACCTATACCACACTTTTTATTTTTATTGAAATTTATAGCTTTCACCAGTTTGTTTCTTCAAAACATTTTCTTGTTACAAATAAAAGGTATACATTTAAAGAAAAAACTCAGAAGACATCCTTATTAATAAAGTCTGTTTGTGCCATATCAGCTTCACAAGCTATCATGAGATTGCAATTATTTCCATACTCCTATCAGACATTCACAAGGAAAATTAAACTCTAACCTGATCTTAGTAAATTCAGAACAGTGTGTTCCTAGAAGCACAGCATCCTCAACAAAGACTTTCTGGAGAAACGTATTTGGAAGGAGTTCATTTTTCCATGGTGACATTTGCTTTCAATCATATTGCCAAAGAAGATTTCCCCCAAGCAAACAAGCAAGCTCAAAGCATTGACTACAACCCGAGGATCTCTGAGAAAAACACTATTCCTCTAGATATTCCAGGAGCCACTCAAAATCCAACCCCAGTTAAAGGCAAAGAAAGCAGACCAATGACAAAGGAGTAGATGGTAGTAAGTACCTGAAAGCATTTGTTTGTGTAAACCTTTAAAAATCTAATAAAATAAAAGTGAAACTTTAGAACAGCCACCAGAAGTACTAGTGAAATAATATGAAATAAAGGACAATGTGGCTTACATCACTAAGTCACGTCAAATATCTATGCATATATACTTATCTCTATACAGCTGGTTAAAAATGAGAAATGTGTAATTAGTCCAGATTTAACTGGATTTAGTCATTAGATCACAGGGTTTAGAACAAATTTAATCATCAGATCACAAGAATCTAAATCTGAACTTCCCTAAACTAATGAGCCAATGGTATCACTCTTAAGTAGAAAAGGGGCAACAAATTCAGGGTGTGTAGTGTCACTCTTCAATCAATACCAGCATTCAACTAGTCAATTTATTTATTAATTCTCCAGGCTTCCTATTGCTAACATTATCATCTATTGCCTGAAAAGAAATATATCCCAAAAATCTTTATAGTGAATCAAAATGAACCAAGCCACAGAAATCATTGAAACAAAAAGAAAATAATCATATATTCATGGAAAGGCCAAAAGCAAAACTATTAATCAAATGACTAAAATAATCTGATAGTGTATTAAGCTTAATAAGAATGCTTGAAGAAATTACATCACTAACTCTCCAAAGTATTGTATGTATATTAACATTTTCTAACTAGTATTTTCAGGGGAAATGCTATATTCCAAACTATAGCATTTTCTAATAAATAAAAACATTACAATTCTAGATGCCTGTGGAAACACAAAACACATTGCTGGGGCAATGGCTCAGTGGAGAAGCGTTTGCTGTCCACATGCAAGGATCAAAACGCAGATCTGAAACTGGAAAGGACAAAATTCAGTCAAATTGTCTCATACTGTTTGAGCTTCCAGGAAAGAAGGCCCTAGAATCAGGATTGCCCCCTCCCATTTCAGACTTCAGTATGTTTGTCTCAAAGCATTCTCTAAGGCCACTTGTCAGCAACTAGGCGCCCCTCTAATTCTGTGACAAGAAGGGAATATAACAGCAAAACAGCCCAGAAGTTAAAAACATTGCACCCTTGAGAACAGCTAGAAGGTGTTTTCACCCTTTCCAAAGGAGGTGATTATTCTTTATCCCATGGTGTAAAAGTTGGAAAGAAAAGCCAGAAGTTCAGCCATGGGAATTTCATCCATGGGGAGAAAGCTTAGACATTAGAAAATAACTTATATGTATCATGGAAATTCACCCCTAAATATTTTTAAATACAGAACTTAAAAAAATAAGAGAATTCTTCTTTAGGATAAACACAATAGTGTTATCAGACAGTACCAGCAATATTGTCCATATTCAAATTACTTTAACTGTCTACAAACCATCTTTCATATTTATACAAACCAGCAAATAAAACACTCAAGTAGTATACAAAGTATTTTCTTTGTGAACTCAGAGTATGTGTCCTCCCAAAATCTTACTCACTGAAGCACTCGCTAGCCAATGTAACTGTATTTAAAGAGAGGCCCTAAAGAAGGCCATGGTTAAGTGCACAACAGTTCACAACCATCTGTAACTCCTATTTCAAAGGACCTGACCCCGTCTTCTACCCTTCAGCATC